AGTAGGCAAACAGGCACTTGTTCATGTGGAGAAAACTCAGCAGCAGGACACTCAACAGCTAAATTAAAGCTTTCTCTGTATCCAATAATCTGGAAAAAAGATGAGCAATGACGCAGCATGGGGTTAGATTTCACAGAACTATTTAGGTTAGCTGGAGTTCCAAGAAAGCTGTAAGGACTTCAAAAGAGAATGAATGCTGCTGGCTGAGCGCACAGCGTATCAGACAGTGGCCGTTACTGATGGCAAAAGATACCAAACTAATAGATGCTGTTGGGTATAAATTTCACTGCTGACATCCCAGGTACAAAGTGTCATTGGAGAGAAGGAGTAATCAACAAACCCCATCCCCGAGTTTCTGACATCAGTCAGTGCAAGCAGCCCAGGTGCGTGCGTTCACCCACCCTCAAGCAGAAGAACAAGCTGCAATGGCTGCTCAGGACAAACAGAAAGGTCACACGTTTAAAATTAACATGCATGAAAAATCATCTCTGAAGATCAGGCAGCTGCCATCTGGAGCTTGGTGCAGTCAGGATGCACCCAAGGCCAGGACTTGGCAGGGTTTCTGAAAGGATTGGCTGGTTTTAGGTACCTGAATATCATCACCCAAAGTGCTAAACTGCACTGCTTCCCCAGTGCAAACCTACCATGGCCTGTCCTAAACCAGCTACTGCAAGGGCTCAGCACATCTGTGTCACCACATAATAGCGATGGTAATTATCTGTAATAACAATCATCAGGATGAAAAGCTGCTCCACCAGTTGGGGCTAATGAATGCTGTGCCTAATATCAGCCTTCCTGGAAGCTGTGTCAGGCCACCAGCAGTTCAGGGTTGTTTGAAACTCAAAGAGAAGAGAGAAACCTGGGCACGAGTCGAGGATGAGCGTGCTGGCTGCTTGCTGGCCAGGCCAGAGCAACCTGTTAGCAGCTCTGAACCCCTCTCGATAGGACAAAGAAGGTTGAATACCTTCTGTAATTTGCATTCACATTAGCTGGCGAGATCCTCTTGCGCTCCTTCACTAGTCCTAGTAGATAAAGAGCAGCCCGTCTCTTTCTTGCCCATCAGCGTCAGACAATGCAAACCCACCACTGCTTGTCCCTAGAACGCTCCACGGTGAGGAGAATCTCCACGTGCTGGCAGAAGCTGTTGCAGGCAGAATACCTGACTCCCACCCACACCAGTACTTTTAATTGACCAGAAGTTTCTCCATGGAGATTAAACAGTGGTCGTTTCTTATTTACCCTCCTCAATACATGCTCATTAATTAGCATACTCATTTGTTCAGGTCTTTAGGAACTGCATACCATGGAAAACATTCTACATTGTCAAATGCAACTCACTGATTAGCCCAAGACATTTAAGAAAGATTAATTGAAGAACTGGCGATCAACTTAAGAAAGAGTGACCAAAGGAGGGACATTCAGGGGCTGAGTGGAGAGACTTGAAGTCCACCTAACCCAGCAACTGGGCACCACCTGCAAGGTCAAGGACACTTGTCCTACCTGACGTTTTTGCCTCGGTCTTCACTGACAAGGTGACAGCCACACTGCCCATGTCGTGAAGGCCAAACTGGTGAGAAGGCCAGCATGACCCATCCTGCCATTCCCTCCTTTGTAACCACGGTCCTGAATTAACCGACAGCATGATTTTCCCTTCTCTTAACTAAGGGAGCCACTGAAAACAAGCAGAGGTGTCTATTCAATTTCCTGGTTATGCTTGAAGTGAAATCTACTTCATTTACCTCATTATCTGAAAAGTAAGGAAAGGAACCTACCCTGCAATGGAGAATTTAGCACTGGGGCTGAGAGAGATAATGTGGGGACCTAACAGTAACCCCATTGCTCTTCTATTTATTAGATCTAGCTTTTAAAGGTTCCTTTCTAATGACAGAAATTAGAAGTGACTCCTACAGATCTCGGAGAGATGTGCTGCATATATTTCTCCATACAGCACATTGCAGCTTTTGAAAGACCCCAGTGGCATTATATACAGACTATACAGAACACACAGGGTAAAATATAGAGAGCAAAAATGACTGACCATTCACAGCTACACCTGCAAGCAGTAAAACTCTCCCTGCTCAGTCCACGGCCATGAACCCATGAAGTGACTCAGAGCAATTCTGCTGCTGTGTGACTATTTGCCCCATTAATCACTGATCCCGGTTTGTGTGCTCCCATGTCAGACAGAACATAAAACCTACTAAAGCATTTGGATACGGTTGGATTTCCTGACCTCCAGCTCTTAAAAAGTCAAGATAAAGTCCACTGTCCTGCTTGTCACTGTGGCACCCGGGGGCTCGCAGGCTGCTGTAAGATCCACTCTTCCAAAAACCACAGCTCAAACTAAGCCAAGAAACCCTGAGTTACACAAGAGGCCAGCCTCTGTGCTCCAAACCAATGTGTGCAGCGGTGCAGAGATGGCATGTATGAAACCAGATAAAACAGACTCAGGAATAAGTGATGGATCTCCGGAGGCTGTCAGTTACAACAACAGCATTTGTTAATGTTGTGACTTTGCCAAGAGCTCTCCTGCTGCTGCTGTCTCAAGATGCCATAAGAACTGGTCCACCAAGCTGAGTATAACACACGAGACACCTGCTCCCCTCCTTGCCAAAGCTAGGAAGAGCTGTAGTACTCTGACAAGCTTGATGACTCCAGCACGCGTGGAGCTGAGACAGACACAGCTGTATTTGCTCCAAGTTGTATGTAGTGATGAATGACAAGTTTAACCTGCTTTTCCTCTGCTTTTGCACACATTTCATTGACATGAACCACCACATGCTGAGACTGTTGATGTGCCCTATTAGTCTCACATCCTAAATGATTTTTCTAGATGCTCATAACAAAGCACATTACGGTGGATTTAGAGGAGCAATACCCTTGAAGCAGCCTCAGTCCTTTTCCTTCAGTCCTCTCTCTGACATCGCCCATCAGTGCAGCTCTTTAGCTTCTGGGTTATTAAACCAAGTGCTTATTTTCAAGATGAATTAGCAAATAATCACTTTGCAGAAGTGACAGGCTTTCTGTACCCCCTTTGGCAGCTGCCTTCTTGCTGCTGGGGTGGCACAGCCCTGGCTGCTTCTTTCCACAGTTAGTAGCTTAAATAAGACAGAAGAGTGATCTCCCAGGGGTCCTGTTCAAACCAGCCCAACAGTTCCTCTGAGGTTCCAGTTTCCCTAAATAGAGCTCTGCTTCCTCCCCTCATAAAGCCTGAAGGCAACATTCCTGCTTCAGCCCAGCCAGGGCGGCCAAGCCAGCACCCAGAAGGAGTCCCCTGAACAGCAGCAGCTATTCCCATTTCCGTCAGTAGTGCCACAAACTGTCCATGCCTGCTCTGAAATTCTAACTGTTGGCACAAAAAACCACCCCAATTCACACCCACAAAAACCCCAACAATCCATTTAGTGTCGTGTGCCTGCAGAGAAGCGTTTGGGCCATCAGCAGCTACTGCTGGTGCTCTGGTAGAAAAGAGGAATAACTACAATTCCTCGTTCAAATTCAGTTCAATGATATTTACTTGCTTCTAAATATGCAGCATGATTCACACCTTTAAACAACCCATTTTCTAGGCTGAACAGAAAATCCATTTCCATTCGTTTTCAAAGACTCAGGATGTATGTATGGAGGAAGTTCGCTTCCATAAATTCACCTTTTTAGAGTCACTGGGTAACCCAGAATTTATGTAAGTGTAGGTCAATCAAATCATTCAGTATTTATATGCTCCCTTTCAAGCTCCAGGGAACTGGAATAAAATGCTAAAAATGAAATACACATGTTGGAACACGCAGAAGATTTAGGGATGGAACTGTTCTGACAGCCCAGAATAAAAGGCTTTATGCATACAATCTCAATGGGTAGGTCTGCACCTAAATCACATATCGATTCAACTCACTGTACGCAAGTTAGATAAGTTTGGGAATGATGTATGCCTGATCAATGTGTTTTGGAAATGAATCTCTGTCTGACTTAATCATTTAGGCAAGAGAAGAAGTCACATAAATACCCCTATATTTTACTTTATAGGACAGTAAACCAATTTCTAATCAAATTTGTAAGTAAACAGTCTTATTTTTTCCCAAGAAATATCAATATTAAAATCCTTTTCAAAGACAATTTGAAAAGAGACTTCAAAAATGACTGTTATCGATGAAACACACACATTATATTGATACGCGAGTCTAAAAACACGATCATCGGAGCCACAGGCGAATGCAAATACCCCTCTGTAACACCAGCGACGGAAAGTCCTAGCACCACGCTGAAAGAAGTCGGATTTGGAGACTGGGACAGATGAGAAAGCTGGATTTGTTTTACATTTTACTCCTTCGAAGTGCTAACAGTGATTCTATGCTTGAGTGCAGGAGCAATGTCCCCCTGAGCACAAACACACCAACCCCGATGCAGTAGGGGAGAAATAAATGCTTACACCTATACACGCAGATCTCCAAGTGCTTTATGACAGACAGGGATACGGAGGCACAGAAAGGCAAAGTGACGCCCTGAAAGACACAGCCAAGCTAAGGTATGAATGCCAACAGTGCCGGTTTCCATTTGAAAGCCAAACCTAGCAGTGCAAATCTCCTTTCTCAACCACATTGCGCAGATGGCACAGGTATTGGTGGGAGCCCAGGGAGCTGGGTCAGTCACAAACACACTCCTCCTCAGCTTTTCCCCTGTCTCTTGTCCCCTGGCTAACTCTGGGGCCATCCAACCAAGAGGTAAGAAGCTGACTCTGCTGCAGTTTCTCTGGGTGCCTTCAGCAACAAAAACCCAACGGCAACACCAGTCACGGGTCATTCCTGGCAGCAGGAAACAAGCCCTGCCATCAGCAGGGCACTGCCCTCACCCAGCAGAGCGGGACCCTCAGCACAGACCCAGTCAAGTTCACTCTGATACTTCCCAAGCCACCAGCGCATGAAAACGCGGGCAAAGCAGATTGCTGCAGCCTTGGGGGATGCCCTGTGAACGCAAACAGCCAAACAAGGAGGGAAGCCACTTACCATACAGGACTGTAATGAGCGACACGGGCATGACCAGGATACCCACCAGCATGTCCGCCACTGCCAAGGACATCAGAAAGAAGTTTGTGGCATTCTGCAACTTCTTCTCCAAGGACACAGCCATAATTACCAGTATGTTCCCCCCAATGGTGAGCAGGATGACAACCAAGATCAGGAGGGCTGGCCAGTTCTTCTCCCTCACAGACATCCGAGAGACTTCGCTCTTCTCAGAGGCATTAAGAGGATCAGATGTAGGCAAACTCTGATTCAGAGTCAAATTGCTGCTTAAGGACCAAGCCATGAGCCCACCATGCAAGCTAAAATCCAGGGTAACAGACACTGTTGTTAAGCTGAGTAATATCCCAGGACTACTTAAAGTGCTCATTGTCTGCGACAGGGTTTTGTGTCTCTCAGCAGTGCCTCAGAGGTGATCCCTTTTCCAAACTGCAGGTCCAAGGCAGACACTGAACTTCATAAAACCTGAGCCAGAAAATCCTATGATCTTCCATGGTGAGGCAAACCTTAGAAGCTAGTGCAGAGCTCTTCTGGTTCCCTTGGACGTGGTGGAAGATGACCGCTGACCAGTGACCTTGAGGAAAAGGAGACTTTGCAATCTCCAGTTGGTTTCCAGGTCTACCATTCTGAAAAGGAAGAGAAAGAATATTCTTCACTGAAATCACAGCACTTCTTTATATCCCCCTGAACTGACACCCTTATTCTCTCCCTTCCTGCTGGCTAAGATGTTCTCCAGACGGGAAGCAATTTATCTTATGGGTACAGACTATGCCTACAATTATGGGGGGAAAAGGGAAGAGAATCACATCAGTGTGTTCTGGCTGGTTAAAAGCTGATTATCACTAATTAAATGTTTTGTGCAACCTGCAAAAGCGAGTCTGAAGAGCAAAATATGTTTCAATTGATAGCCACTTCAGAGCTACTCTGCCGCTGTGTAAAACAGTAATCACACGGAATTCCAACCAATCCACATAGCACAGCCCAAGCACGGTGTAAACCAGTGCTTCCACTGGAAATGTTTGAATAGATTTGGCGTATTCCGAGATAAAGCCCAGGTGTAAAAACCCTCAGATGTTCACGATTAACTCTCCTACTGTGGTTTTATAACTCTCCTATAATGGTTTTTATCGGGCAATAAATGGTGGCTATATTAGATGACACTGTATGCTGCTCTGCTATCAGTCTCTGCAAACAAACTGATAACAAGGACTGAAAAGAAAGGACAGATCTTCATAAAAGCTGAGCAGTTATTTCTGCTCTTCATCCATTTCTGTGCCGCTGTGCTTCCATGATAGCCACCAGCATGCAGCTGGGCCAGTAAACCCAATCCAACCAGCCTGCTGCCCAGGACCACCGGCCCAGCAGGTACAAGGATCAGCATCCTCATCACACACAGTGGGTAGGACAGATTTCCTCAGTGTATCTCTCATGATTTATGCTCCTCCACAAAGTAGTTGACAGTGAGGGCAAATCAGATCATAGCCCCTGACTGCCCACGTAATACCAGCCAGAAAGCATCACGCTGCTGCTTCTGACGGAGTCCATTAGCCTTGTGCACTGACCTAATGCAGAAAGTCAAACATACCCTTAACTTCAGGCACATGCCCACACCCACTGAGGCTAAAGGTGCATATTCTCAGTCCTGGCTAAATCACAGCCGCAGGAACTCAATCATTTTGACTGCCAATCCCATATAACTTATGAAAACAAAAAAGAACACACACCACACACCGTGTAGAAGGCAGCCAGAGTAAAATCAGTAGCGTGGAATTTATTCTAAGCATAATTTCAACTTTCCGTGTAGTCCATGGGAAAAGAGCTGTTCTATAACTGTTAAATAAATAACTAGATAAAAGCCACATTTCAGCCCCTGAATTCACTGTGGCACATGTGTGCCACAGCAATTTGCTATCCAGGGACCAAAGCGAAATGTAATTCATGGGATTACATTCAGGTTTATGTAAAATAAGAAGCTCTCAGAGTCCTATAATAAAATGTTTAACATTCATGAAGGTTTTGGAAACTTACTAATGGGCTTTGTGCACAAAAACATTTCTTAAATGAGCAGTGCAGACAATGAAACCAGATTTGCTTCTGCATTATAGTTAATTACTCCCAAAGGGTCTCTAAACCTCATATTTAGGAAGAAGCTTTGCACTATATGCACAGCAAATAATTCCACAGCTGTGTGAGCAGATGAATGAGGAGCAGTCACTGGCCCTTGGGTTTTTTCTAATTTAAGTGGTCTAAAAAAAGTCCATAGAAAGTTTCAAAATACTTCAGAGTATTTCTTCCCCCCTCCAAAACAGCTTTTACTTGAAAGCTGTGAACAAAATCAACCAGTTTTCCAAGTCACCTTTCCACAGTGAAGGAGGCAGTAAGCAGCTTTGTGGCACTTGAGCTTAGCTATGTAGGACACTCCATTAAAGCCAGTGGGAACTTCTGGGTCTCCAGAAATTCTCTCTCTTTGGGTCCGTTACTCTTGGGCACCCCTGCTCATGCCACAGCACTATCTTGGCAGGATGAGCAGAAAGCTCATGGCCAAACACGAGGACGTGCCCCATCCCTGGCAGTGTTCAAGGCCAGGTTGGACACAGGGGCTTGGAGCAAGCTGCTCTAGTGGAAAGGGGCCCTGCCCGTGGCAGGGGTTGGAGCTGGAGGAGCTTTGAGGTCTTTTCCAACACAAACCAGACTGGGGTTCTATGACGTGCTCAGACAGCAGGAGTCCAGCCCTGGTCTTCCTCCTTCCCAGGCCTAAGCTCCCGGAGAAGGTGATGCTACCACCACACTTGCCACAGGTTTGAGTTTGCTGTTCCTTGCATGTGCTAGTTGGGGTTGCCAAAGGAACATGGACAGGGAGATGCCCCAACTCTACATCATAATAGCAAAACAAAAAACACCTCTCCCACACCCCCAATGAACAAGCCACAGAACAGAAGAAATTTAACTGCAAAATACAGTTTCTGAATTAAAAATGTCTTCTTTTGTAACAGCTCAGGACCGCAGTGCTGCAGATCCGGCTCCACCTTAAGAATTAACAGTCCTATTGCTTCGTTAATACTTGTATTATTTCACATGGGTTTAAATCAGCTTTCTTTTTCACTGCATCCCTCAGCCTCCACAAGGTAAAACTTTATGACTAATTCCTTCAGCTACAGACTTCTGAGCACATCGCTGTACCAGACAAATAATTCACATTTGATTCATGAATTCTGCATATGTTTAAGAAATATCACCATAATTTTAAATTAAAACCTGTGCCTACCCCAGATTTTTTTCCAATCACTGACTTCAAAGCGCACATCCTGAATTCTGTGGTCAAGCATCAATTCCAGTGCAATCTACCACCCACAGGCCTTAAAACTGTAATTTAAACACCCAACAAAGCCAGGTTCTTGGCTGCACCACTCTTGTTTCTTGATAGAGTCAAGTAACAAGTTCTTTGGGCACGTTTTCCCAGATTTAGTCCAGTTTAGAATAAACTGAAAATAGAAAAAAAATCAGGTTTGTTTCTTTCCCCTCAAGAACACCTGAATTATTTAAACCAAGCGTTTGAGATGCTGAAGCTTTCATATATTCCAGAAGGTTAAAACCCAAGAGCTATGGTGGATCATAAGCCTGTAACCAGCAGGGCACTGGGGGGTTCGGATGCCTTTGGGAGTGTTTACAACCATTTCTCTTGCTAAAAGGAGCAAACAAACAGACAAACCTTTCTTGGAATGAACACAATTATTTTCCCCTTTGAATTAAATGCATTTGTCTTCAGTTGTTTCACCCTTCAAAGCTCCTGGAGAAAACCAGCCACTGCTGAGACCTGAAGCTCCCCAGCCCCCAGCCAGGATCCTGCCTCTCCCGGATGCACTCGGAGCTCTTGTGCTCTCATAAATCATTCACTAACTCTCTAGGACTCGTAGCCTGAATGTTAACAACATGCATTTGGAATGGGGCAAGAAATCAAAGATTGTCAATTTAGCCCCAAAAGAGAACCCGAGCCTCAAGCTGGCTCCGAGAGGACAGAATACATTGATTCCTGCTAAGTCTCGCTGTAAAAAGCAAAGGTACTTAATGGTCAAAAATTATGACTGTCAGCAATTTCCTTCCCATGAGAAAAACAAGCAACATCCAATAGCTTGTTGTAGGGACAGAGGCCATACTTGAGCAAAAGAGATGCCTTCCTCCTAAACTGTGAGCAGTACTCGCATCACTGAGTCCCATTCACATTTCATCGCTAAGCAGAGGAGAGCCAACAACTTGTTAAAGATCAACCACGTTTTTAAGTCACAAGGATTTCCTTCAGCCTTGGATTAGATGGGAGCCTTCCAGAGGGGTAAAAATAAACATGAAGATGAGCAAACTGAACTGCAAATACTGCAATTCTTCACAGGGAAGCAGTTGCAGATAGCTCACAACGACATGAGCCAGACAGTTGCCTGATGTGAATTGTTACGGCTCCATGGAACCCTTTACAACATGACAAATACTTTAAAGTTACATACTAATAAATAATTAACACTGTTCAGGCTCAAAAAAGCACATCTAAGGCTTCATTCCTCACTCCAAACTCTGCATTTCCAGCTATCTGCATCTTTACTAATCTATTTTCTTAATGCTTGCCAAATTCATTTTCATTTCTGTTTGGAACAGAAGGCTGCTTTAAAATACATCTTTTCACAACTACTTTGCAAGAGCCCCTTTAGTTTTAGTGACTGAATAAAGGCATATTTTATATTTTCAGAATGTTGTATTTTAGGCACTTGCAATTCACTTTTTATCTCTGTGTGGCCGCAATAACATACATCCTTATTTCTGTGCAGATCAAGAATAATGGCTTTAAACGGAAACAGCGTAGATATGAGGAAGAATCATAGAATCATATGAATCCCAGCCTGGTTTGGGTTGAAGGGACTTTAAAGCTCCTCCAGCTCCAACCCCTGCCACGGGCAGGGACACCTTCCACTAGAGCAGCTTGCTCCAAGCCCCATCCAACCTGGCCTTGAGCACTGCGAGCTGTTCCTGTTGAGGTGTCCAAGAAACCTACAGCTCAAATATATTCTGCCAAGTGGCAAACGTTGCTGTCTTTTGAAAGCAGCGTCAACACAGAAGTTGTGTTTTCACAGCCATTCCAGTGTGACAAGAAAAATCAAACCATAATGATTATTCTGTAGATGCCCGCTTCAAAACGAACTGAGGATGCAGCCCAGACACTTAAAATTAAGTGTTTAAATACTTCCCATAGCCGCTCTTCAAGTGGGGACCATATTACTAGCACTTGGATCAGGGACTTTCTCCCCAAGGAATTATTCAATACTCCCTCTTCAGATTTGCAAGATATTCTGGAATTTTTCCCAGCAGGTTCCAGAGATAAATCAGAGCTAAAAACACTTGGCAAAACCTCGGGGAAACCTCCCCAAACACAGCTTTTTACCACTTCTTTTAATTCCAACCCAGAAAGCAGCTATTTAATGACTTACAAACTAAAAAAAGAGAGAATTTCATTTTTTCCACAGTAAGAGGAAATGGGTTTTCTCAGACACAAGCTCAAGTGTGTGAGAAATGACATTTTGTAGGGTCATAATAATGAATCACTACCATTCTGTCCATAACCAAACAGCATTAATTTCCCTCT